TGTTATTATTTTATGAACAAAATGTCAATTGTATTGGACACAAGTTCCAGTAACTTAGAAAGTGATCGGTCTCTGTTCGTTATCTTGACATTTTTCGTAGTCATCTCTTCACGTTAAGTTCTTGACGTTATGTTGATAAGAGTGCTCCTTCGTTACAAAACATGTTGATTTTAAAATAATGTACCATGAGTTTCATTTGATGAAATAAAATAAAACTACATATATCAACAAAAAAAAAATGTTTTACATATTATATTGTGTTGATTTAAATTAATCAAAAAATAATAATATGAAGGAGAGCAAAATTTCCTACGTATTAAATTTATCGCAAATTAGGCACAAACATATTTCTCCATTTAATCAGAAAATCAGATTTAAAAGTATCAGTTTTATGTATACAATTTTCGCAAAATTATTGAAATAAAATATTTCATTAAGACAATAAAGAATATAAAACTCATTTTAATGAAAAGGAAAGACTGATTCTTGATAAAGCATATTGTATTTGTTGACATCCATTTAATTTATTGTTTTAATAACTGTTCTATACTACCAACTAATGTTCATATTTTACATTTTGCTGCGTAAAAATAAAGGACATTGCAGTAGCATATTAAATCAATAAATCGCCAGATTGCTAACAGACAAATCACTGTATTAGAGATGTGATTGCATCAAACTGTCTCATGAAATATCAAAAGGGCATACAAACAATAGAGAAATTGGATATTAAATATAAAAAAGCTAATTACATAATTACATACGGTATAGTCTGCATAGTAAAAAGCATAAAACATTTTAATTCCCGAACAATTCAGTTGGCTTGCAGAGACGAAAGGAAAAAGAAACGCAGAGTGAAATAATATAAAATAATTTTAACTTCATTAATTTACTATCAAAATTATGAAAACATGTCAAAGGCTACTAGATCTAAGTTACTATGAACTAAACGTGGTGTTCAAAATTACTCAACCGTGAAATGTGTGTCGTCAGGTAAGGAAAGTGGCAGAATTCCAAAAGCACAGGCATATTGATGGTGGCAAGTTTATCAACACATCTTGAAATACAACTAGATACACTTAGGTACACGTCGTTTTTCGCTATTTACAGTCAATTCGAATTTCTTGCAATCATGGTACGGCTGATATTGTCCAAATAAGGACAAAGGCAACAAAAGATTGGTGTGCAGTTTTTATGAATTTTTCCGCCATAGAACGTCATACTACTATACCTCGTTGAAGAGGAATTGGAAATACTTTCGCACAAGCAATCACATTAACCCACTCGAAAGTTCTCTAAACAGTCCATCCTTGTTCCCATCGAACATTGTTAGACCACTGCACAGAACGGTTACAAGGCATCAAAATGCCCCAGCTACTCTCCATGAATTAAGGATTGCCTTGTCGGAAGGGTTGAATAATATCCCTTTGAGAAAGATAAATACACTGATGAGCTCCATGCACAGGTCACATATGTGCGAGGGAGGCATAGGAGATTATGACATTTTTTTCACTTGGTGGAGGGGGCTTAGTTACCGTCAAATGAGTTTCAATAACTCATGAATTATCCGTCAACATCAAACGAAACTTTGTTTAATTGATGATGAAACATGTTTCAATGTAATATAACAACATTGGGAAATACGTTAGAAAAAAATAATGTTAAATAACTTCAAAAGTTTAGCCTGCGTCTCTTTTTCCCTTCAGTATATATAGAGTTGTTCAATGTAGAAAATCCTTTTTTTTAAATATATCATAAAAAATAAATACACTTAAAGTTGAAAAGCAGTGAATTTTGTGTCGTCTGATAAAAGGAGACTGTTTTTAAGATTCCAATATATTTTTTTTTTTTAAATTTAGTCACAAAGTTCATACTGCTTTCCTTCAATAAAAATTTGTTCCGCTTCAGAAATGAATGGTTAATAATTTGTTTATTTCATATAAGGAAAATTGAAGAACAGTTCTTTCTTTTTTTTTCAATATTACACACAAACTATATTTGAATTTACTTTGTTAAATTGGTGTGAACAAGAAAAATACTTTTTTTCATTAACATTTGTCTTGTAATAATTACAAATACTTTTTTTCAAATACACGTACATGATTTGGATAGGGGAAAGATACTTTCTCATACAATCTGTCACGGAGTAATGTAAAAGGTGAAGATAACGAACAGTTATCAATCTCATAAATCCAATAAAAGAAAACGAATTGTGAGCAACAGGGTAAAAACACGGACCCCTGGAAACACCAGGCATAGGATCAGGTGTTTAGGTATGTATTGATAAGATATACAGAAAACTCTAAAGTTAAACTTAGTATAAAAAGAAGTACTTAACAATTGGTATGGAACATTCAGTCAAATACGATCCAACGATATGCTGTATTTACAAACATGGCCACTATAACGACCGTAGAATTTGCAAAAAGCTGAAATTAAATGGCGTTGTTGAAATCCTTGTACCATCAAATTATTTGTCAGAAGCTTGTCCTCGGTTTAAAAATTGATCGTACTCAGAGCATGGTCTTGCGTATCGAAACATTTGGGAAACATAAACAATATATGCAGGTGATATTAGGGGATATTACTACATATATAAGGGAAGTTGACGATGGAAAAGCTAAGGTCATCCCATTTGTCATATAATTTAGTTATTAGTTGACCATTATCGTCTAAAGTCTGTAAAACATCCAAATATGAAATGAGTGTTTCAGACTATGTAGTGTCTTATATTTTGAGTTTACTGGCATATATCGAGTCGATGAAATGAAAGTAACTATTTTTAATTAAGAAACTGTCGTCGATATATCTAAATGCTGAGTTCAAGGCTTTTGCATGGGTTTTTCCTTCTTGTATAGAGGTTTATGGTAAATTCTGCTTCATAGGAATATAGAAACAGGTCGGCTAATAAAGACCACAATTAGTGCCCAAAGAAATTCCAACAGAAATTTGGAAGACCTAATCTCCGAAGAATACATAGATATTGTCAAATGAGGAACTCCAGCATCTTAATATCAATTTCAGAGTACTTGTACCTAGAATCAGAATGATTTTTACAAAGTAATTTTGTAGATGACCAAATACAAGATATGAAAATTTACGAGCTCAATTTTTAATGAAGAAGCAGCTGTCTATAAGTTTAAAAAGCCTGTTCTTTAATTTATCGTGAGGAATTGTTGTATAAAGCGTAGAAATATAATATGTTTTGATGCTATTGGTGTTTGAAAAGTTTTAAAATTTTAAATTTTTCCAAAAGTATTTTAGAATCTTCATTTCTTTTACATCCCTTCTTGCAATACATCTGAGGTTTCCCCTTTACAGCCGTTTATATTTTGGTAAGGAGTAAAGATTGGGGCTCGTTTAAACATCTATCGGACTCCGCAATATACATGTATCTTTGCTTGGAAGGATTTCTATGAAGTCTCGGAATCCAGTACTGGCCTGGTATTTAACCTTTTTTACATTAGCTTATGATATCTGGCATATCGGTGAATCATCAGGAATATGTACATATATTTAACAATTATGATCCATGTATTTTTATTTGCGGCCTTAGAGTCAAATGTATATGTTGTTCTTTTCGGGGAAAAAGGGGGGGGGTTAAAACCTTGTATGACGATACTTTGCTTATAGACGTATTGTCATAAAATATTGTAACCCATTATAATTGATCGTTTGTGTGTTGTTTCACGTTCCGTTCGAGATTCTTTCACTCATATAGAGACGTCACCGTATACCGGTGAAGGGCTTTAAATTTAGACCTTTACTCGGCACTCAGGGCCATAAAGCAGTGAGGGTTCTTTATCGTGCCAACGCCTACCGTGACACGGGGCCTTGTTTTTAAGGTCCTATCCGAAAGACCCGCAACTTTCACTCTAAAGTGCCGAGAGCTGGGCGAAGCAACAGTTGCTACCTATTTTTTATTGACTTAAGTCAGTCGAGGCCGTGATTCGAACACACGACCTTCCGATTTAACCCATTATGGACTTTTATAGTATAAATGTATTATTTCCCTGTGTTTGGACAACGGCCTAAATGGGCTCATGAAAGTTTTTCAACTAGAGTACATTTATGTACTCAGAAGCATGTCCACTATGGCATGTAAAACGTTGAGTTCCTACAGTGTACGGCCATGTTAAATAAACTTGTTATTTACGTATCGTAAACTGGTTACTAATATTCTAAATGTTGTGATTCATATTTGATAGTCATTATTCATATTCGTAAACCTGTGATTGATATTTGCATGAGTTAAAATCGAAAAATTGATATCAACATTCGAAAACTTGTAATTCTCGTGCTAAGAAAGTCGTTATTCATATTCTATAGCCTTGGTATTTGTATGCAATAAACTTGTTATTTATGTGCAAAAAGATATTATTTATGTTCGAAGACTTATTTACTGTGGAATCATCAATTTTTGTGGTGGTTTAATATTCTCCCTTTACATGGTATGACGATACCCACAAATTCATGTCTCATAAAATGTTAAAATACTGTAAATGTATTATATTTTATTAGCGTGTACTATATATGGCGGAAATTAATTTTTGAACAAGTTAGCGTAGATTTGATGTAGCGCATTTATAAAAGTTTCTATTTATGTATATATGTGCAAGACATTTAGCGTTGTACTTGAATTAGCGGAAATTTCTATCCGCCAGTCACTAAAAAGAATACACAGCCAAATGTAATGTTTACAGTATCAAGCTGTGGTATCGTGCTTGTTTGCCATTGCTTCATGCTGTTAGGTTCATGTTATATGGTTAAATCATCATACCTCGATTTGTCAAGAATCGTCATCTAAGCCCTTGATGTCTAACTTTAGGTTAATTCTGTTAAAAATCAAATCATTTAGATAAAGCTTATTTAAGAAAGACCTTCGGGTACGCCAACATGTGGGTGAGAGCAAAAAAAAGTTGAATGCATTAAGTCGTAAACGACGTTTTGACTCGCTACATAATTTGTAGTGAAATTTCATTTTCAAGAAAGATTAAAAGTAAGATGGTCTCCAATATTTATTAACTAAACAATACAACATAACATTACGTCCTTTGACAAGTGGGCATTTTTATGTATTATGTCTCTATACAGCAAAAATTGTAAAAATAATATTGTATGTGATTAAATGATAAATACATTGTAAACTTTATTCATAAAACAATATCCTTATAAACAATAGACATAGAACAACATACACATAAAATATATCTTTGGAATGTGTACGATATATTGCGACTTTACATGATGGAATCCGAAGGCAATGCAAAATATATAACCGTCAAATGCCTGCAAAAAATCAATATGCTGAAAAGTCCCGGGATCCTGATTGCAAGGTCAAGCAAACATATAGCAGAAATGTTTAACTAAATTACTTAAAGCTTTCATTGAATGATGTTAATCAGGAAACTTGTGGCCATATCTAAAAAACCAAAAAACAAATCTATCGCAGAGTAGCTTTGGGAAATGAAGATTTTCTTCAATCTTTCCTCTTGGTCTAGGGTCAACCATCAAAATGTTAAGGTCGACTTTTTGAAGGTCAACAACACTCCAAAATATAGCTCATTCATTAATTATACATCACTATTTCTTCAGGAACCATAACGATAGTAAAACAAATATAATCACAACCATAACAGTCAACATAAAACAAAGTCAAAATATTCAAATTAGGCTTGTACGTTTTATTTCAAGGTTCCGTTAAAGACAATTTAAGTTTTTGTTTGTAGAGACAATTGTAACAGTGGCCAAATTGTGTTTATGTTCCTTATAGTTGTGGTCTGAGAGTTACAACCCTGAAAATCATTGTGATGAAGTTGCCAATAACAAATGTTTCTCTAAACAATTCCCCAAGTAAGTTTACAAATTAACAAATTAAAACGCATTTTGAAATATAACTTTTAAAAAAAAAATATCTAGCTTCTTAATCCACGGGTATTGAGTAGCAAAATGATATTCAAATAATTTCACACGGTTTATTAAGTGCAAGATTGCATTTGAACCTTTTGCTGCAGGAATAAAAATAATATGTATGTAGACACCAAAATTGACTAACGGCCACCTCCTTTCAGTGATGATGAAGTCAGATTAATGTCTGCCTTGTCAAAACAAAAACAAAAATTAAATAAAAAATTACAAGAAGTTTTAGTGCTATCTTGCACTTCTTAAACATATTTGATTATAAATAATTTGAATATCATTTTGCCACTTGATACTCGTGAATTAAAGGACTAGATTTTTGAAAACTTTAGCTATTGAAAAGTACATTTTGCACATAGAATATTTCTTACTTGGAAAAACTATTGAATGAAACATTTTTTGCCAACTTAATAGCAATGGTCTGCAGGGGTGTACTTCTCAGACCACAACAATAAGGAACATAAACAAAATTTAGCCATGTTGAAAAAGTTTTACAAACAAAAAAATTTACCATTAGTGGAACCTTAAAAACAAAACTAAACAGGGCTTTCACAAATAGGTTTACTTATTTCCAACACAGGCACACTATATCTACAAATACAAAAGAAGTAAACTTTACATGGAAATTATCCAATGAGGGCAATGCAAAACAGTAACCAATCAACACTACTGACTAAAATAACTCCAAAGATGGATACAGCTCCGCTAACCTCTTTTTTTATTTTGAGAGTTGTCTCTCTTTGTTGAAAAGCAAACGATGTGAACACGTTGTGGAATACCCTGGGATTAATATTCAAGAAGGATGAAAATGAAATTCAACTACTAACAATTTTTTTTGAAAAGGAAAAAAACGGCAATGCTTACAAACAAAACAGTCAAAGAGAAAAGAGGAAAATTCATTACGAAATATGAGCTCCAGGACAGAAATTGAGCTCAAAATTTTCTGTAGGAAAAGCAAAATGACAGAATTGGGGTATATAGATTTCAATGATTGAAATGATACATGATGCCACGTTGAATGTAAAAATAAACAAAGGGCATTTTGCGTATTGTGTAGTCTGCAGTAATGCACAGTGACCACTACACTCCATACATAGATAAGCCGTTCTGTTGTGCGTTCTGGACTTTAATCTGAAAAGAGGAAGTCTTATTAAATAATTTATATTTTCAACCACATATTTAGATAAATATAATCTATACTTTTATTGTAAATACTGGTTTCAATACAGACATTCTTTTATCATATAAATTTAAAGGGAAAAGAAAACATATTTAACATAATTTAGAATAACGCTTTAACGTGTACATGTACACTGATTTAACAGGAAATCCAAAAAAAAAAAAAAAACCAACCAAACAAACAAACAAAACAAAAATAAAACAACAACAACAAAAACCAACAAACAAAAAACAAAAAAATAACAACAAAAAATGCTCCAAACAATTCTACTTGTTCAATCAAGAGCATAACAAGCTGTCAATTTATATAGTTACCAATATATAAAAAATATCAAGCATCCAACATTAAAAAAAACTTAAGATACATTTTCTAGGCGACTTTGGTTCAATAGCAGATAACGTTATGTGGATATGATCATAAAACCTTCACTTAGATACATGACAAGAACAAGTCATATGTAATAATATTATCTCTCCAGATCTAAAGTTAAATAACAACCTACATTTACTTAGATATGTATCCAAAACATACTTTTACTGTTTAAATTTAATACTATTTTACCTTTCCGAGAGAAACTTCTTCTATTAACTTGACTATTTCGTCACACTTATTATCAATGGCCCGTTCCTTTAATGACGTCATCGAATGTCCGCACTCCATCATTGCGCACATCGGATCGTTAGGGTCACATTTTTGATACTAAAATTATAGAAAAAGAGACCCATTTAAAACAACACTTACCTGAGTAACCTTGAACCTGTTCTTCAGAAGATTTTTAAATTAAGATTTTCCCATGGAAAAATTACCTCATATTCCACGTGACTCCACCCTAACCCTAGGAGGTCAAGACTTAAGGTTTTGCCAAAGGCCCAGATGTCCAAAAATTTATTTTTACAATAGCTCCAAAACTATGTAAGGTATAACGTTTAAACTTTTACAGTTTATAAATATATCATTGATTAACAGATAGAAAGTATCACTTGAAAACAAATATTTAAAAAAAAAAATTTTTGAGAAAAAAAAAATAAAAAAATTTGCATATTTTAAAAAAAAATGCACCTCCTTAATTCTGTACTTTGAGTGAAAACCATCATTGCAGAAATTATATATGGTTATCAATGAAGGGCAAGTTGGACGTGAATGATCTCTGAAAGGCTGTCATTGAAAGCATGACATGTATAAAGACAAGACCCCTATAAAATCCGCCATTTGCAATGTACTTTCGGTTTCAAATCTTAACATTTGGACAAAATAAACAGGGAAAACAACTTTTCAGAGGCTATCGAAGTCCAACTTGCCCTTCATTGATAAACATATATTGTTTCTGCAATGATGGCTTTCACTAAAAGTACGGAATTATTTGTATTTTTCTCGATAAATATTTTTTAAAAGTTTTTGTAATCAAGTGATACTTTCTATCTGTTCATCAATGATATATTTATTTACTGTAAAATTTTTAACTTTATAAATCACATAGTGTTGGAGCTATTGTAAAAATAAATTTTTGGACATGTTGACCTTTGGTAAAACCTTAACTTGAAAATACAAAAATGGTGAGGGCCTACCTTGAGGCCATGATTTCAAGTTCAATCTGCATTACCTACAGTTGTTTGTTTGTTTGTTTAACGTCCCTCTCGAGAATTTTTCACTCATATGGAGACGCCACTACTTGTCGGTGGAGGGTTGCAAATTTTATACGTATACTCGGCACTCAGGGCCATTGAGCAATGAGGGATCTTTTTCGTTTTTCGTGCCAACACATACTGTGACATGGGACCACAGTTTATACGGTCTTATCCGAAGGACCGGTCACCACGTCCCGCAGTGGATTCGAACACGCGACGTAAGGATCAGCTCTGCGACTCTAGAGCTAACGCTCTAACAACTGCGCCACGCGGGCGACACGGTTGTTTGTGTATTAAAATGAATAATCATAAACCTGCTGTTCTTAAAAAGAAGTATTTAAAAGATTTTCCCTAAGCCTATATATTTCAATGTATGATTTGATCCTCTACAGTGACACCACTCAATCCCCCGAGCCGTCATTAAACCCTTAATGTATTCTTTTATAGGATTTTATTTTTTCTCGTCCAGTGTTTATTAAGATTCTTTAATTAAAACATCCAGGCTTTGACTTTTCTTAATTCCTTCCCTTAGAAGGGGATAGTGCTTTTTGCCTGGACAACTTGAATTCATTTTCCTAAAGGATGCCCTGTGCCAGGTTTTGTGGAAATTGGCTCAGTGATACTGGAGAAGTCAGTTGAAAATAGAAAATATGTAAAGTTTGCAGACAAGGGATATATAAACGACCATCGGATAACGGGTGATCAGAAAATATCAGTTAAAATAGAAATGATAGTTTTTAAAGCCAATTGTATATATTTTTTCAGACTTCAAGTATATGTACATGTAATACTTGATAAATTAAGTTTTAATGCGAAATATATGTATCACTTTTATGGTCGTTGAGTACAGTTTTCAGTAACATACCTGTTTATAAATGTCTGTCTTGAAGCCATTAGTGATAAGGTACTTGGCGATATCGGTCTGTTTGTTGTCTACGCAGTCGAACAGTGTAGAGCTATATCGTGTGACGTCACCAAAGGCCTGCAGACCGGACATTAGACTCTTCACCGTCTCAAAATCCCCAGTCTATAAAAGATTTGAACAAGTCTGCTAGAAAATTGTCATCATATATGCAAAGGCTTTTATTTTTTTTCGAAGCGAGTATTTATCTAATATTTATTTACCTCTTTACTTGAAAAAAAAATTTCAAGTCACAACATCAAAATTGTAACCATCTATGGAAGTCAAAAACGTTAACTGAAAGTTGCAATAAATACACATCATATCGAGGTAAATATTTTCCTGACATGTCAGACAACAGCATTCTCAAACAGCCACAAACAGAACAGAAGAGAGAACGTGTTTCTGCTTTTTCCTCAAAAAGATTTTCATGTCAGGAAAAAACAACACATTAATGCATGTAACAAATTGCTATCGTTTACGGAGGAAATGACAATGTTGGTATACATAAACACTTAAAACGGGCATAGGGTATAAAAACTGGGGGGAAAGATTTTAATCCCACTTTGTATTTATTCTAAGTGAAGCTTTAAAGTTTGTATTTGTTCTCATTAGTATTATTATATATACTGTGTTAATCCTTAATGTGCATAAAGTTTGCAAAAGTTTTGTCTTTTAAAAAATCTTTCGAGCAAAGAAGTTTAGAACCACGTATTTTATTTATTTTCTCATGGGTTAGTCTAAATGCCATAATCAGGTTGGTTGGAAGGATAAGCACCTCGTTTATTTTGTGTATATATAGCAGTTTTGTCAAAATTAAGGTTATTGTTCTTGACTTCCATACAATATTTTTTTGGATCAGTCTTGAATCTCTTTCTTTTTCTTTTCTCAGGTAGTATGAAATTATTAAAGTCGAATTCAGATGATTTTTAAGAAAAACAGCAATAAAATAAAGTTATGATAACCTTTCAGTGCTTGGTAGACAAGAAAGAAAAGTTACGAAGTCTTTAAACAAACTTTTTGTGGAATTTAATGCGATCGTATGATAATTCATTAAATATGTCTCTTGTAATTAATTACTTCACAATGCGCTACTTAATTCAACCTATTGTTGTCATACGTCATAAACTAAAGGGTGTGTATTGAAGAAATTGACATGTTTAAGGAAATGAACGTCTTTTACTTGTAATAGAGCAAAGAAGTCAGCAAAACTGAAGACTGACATTTTTATCAGTGGTTCAGCTATTGTGAATTTTGAATTTTCTAGGTGGAGGTAAATGCACAATTTATTTACCTAAACATAGAAAATTCAAAATTTACATCATGATACTGCAACCAATCATTTTATAAGCAAATTTAAAATGATATCTTCATTAGTTAATATAAAGATGTCCTGTTAATTAATTCTATAATTAATTAATTCAGTTCTTGATTTCTTAAAGATGACTTCAATTTTTATGTTCAAACGAAGCTAAAGAATTGTGCACCAATTATCACAAAAAGTCAGCGATTTATATCTAGTATTTTTTATTTAATTTTTTTAAATGTCCGTGTTTTGGTGTCTAGAAAATGAAAATCAAATCAGGAGCATCTGATAAATCGCAAAATTAGCGGTCATTTAATTTTTTCGTTGGAAGTTTAAGGAGCTAATTGAAAAATTGTTACGAGATCCCTGGTTTCAAACACCAAATCTATTTCCTGATAGATAATTCCACACACTTATCCATCCTAATCAGTTATACACGTACATAATTAAAATTTTACAATCTTATTTGGAAGGTATACCAGATTTTACTGGTATGTTATTCTCAACAAAGCATTGGTAAATGTAATAAAAGAAATTACCTTGAAACATCTCTCAGGCTAACTATTGAATAGTCTATACATCTTGACTTTGAATTAATTACAAAAACTAGATCACAAGTTAGATATCAGTAACTAAATTATCTAAATGAAATTCCTGACATTCTGTTAAATTATGAATCTATCATCGACTTTAAAAAGTAAATCTAATTAACCTGTATTGCTGTTTTGAAGGTCTGCTCGAAATCGCTGTCTGTCAGATAAATGTTGAGATCAAACTCCTCTACTTCTTTCTTGATCCGCTCAAAGTCCTGGGAGCCACACTTCTCTATGGAGAGGTCTGCTGCTAGACGCCCAAACTGTTAACATTATACAAAACATTATCCAACTGTTCCATCAGCAATTGAGGAAGAGTCATTTTATTTTCAGAATTCTGGAAGTTTTCTTCGAAACTAATGTATTTTACAAGGTTTTACAGGTCTGGATGACGTACACACAGTGTATGTATGCTCATATGTTTAAAAAATTCACTCATGGGAATGAAAAACCGCCTACTGTACATTGTAGACCAATGATGGTGGTGCTGATTTTCGCTTTAAATTAAACAGGTCACTCAAATAAAGACGTCACCATATACTGGTGACGGGTTTCAAATTTAGACCTTTACAAAAGAGATGTAGGTTTTGGAAAAAAGGTCTTCAAAACTCTGTTGAAATTTCCATTGCATGGTTCTAACTTTGCCATACTAACAATAGATCATTTTTTGTATGCTTATGATGCAGAATTTATTCAAAACCTCCGCTGGAAGAGTAGATATTTCTTGCTGTGGCCTTCAATTTGACATTTAGATAAATTTTATCGACGATGGATTATCAATTAACAATAATCATTTTAATCACTACGTTGATTCAATATATTCCACTGAACTCGAAATAAAAGACACCACATATTCTGACACACATGTTTCATATTTGGATGTTTTACTAGAGAAAGACATTGATGGCAAACTAACAAGTAAATTTTACTTCAACTTTACTATCGTCAGCTTCCCTCCTTTATGTAGAAATATACCATTATCACCTACATATGGAGTTTATGTCCCCCAGTTGATTCAATAGCTCTACGTTCGAATTATTTCTAAAACGAGGCAGGCTACCGACAAAAAGGTTGATGATACAAGGACATCACTAATCTCGTTTATAGTCAACATTCGCAAATTCAATTGTCGAAACAAAGACCTTATTTGCAAATACTTTAATTCAATTGTTGACCGAAGTCTTTTATACTATTTGGTAGGCCACCATTTTGACATTGAATTGTTTACAGATTCTTCCGTTTACCCGATCATGACAAGGAGTACACGGCGGGTATGACCGGTCCATAGCAGATGCTTATTCCTCTATGGCACTTGATCCCACTTCCGTTTTCAGATGTCCCTGTTGGCTCTGCTCATAATTTGTATTGTTTAAATAGATTTTTGAGAATGATCATTGTTCGTTATTTCTACATTTCATCCTTAGAGGGGGAGGGGTGTTAGATCCTGTTATCAAAAGTCTAGAGGATTTCTTGCATAGTATCTTTTTATTATGTATATGTTCACACATGTAACTTTCATCAACATGAAAATTTGGGTCAGTGTGTGTATTTTAGCGCTACGATGCATTTCATATAACTGTTCTGCGTTGCAATTTCAGATGAAGCACTTGTTGGAGGTCATCCACTCTAATTTTCTTTTTAACCTGAGTGAATCTTTCAGACCAAATACGGTCTTGTTCCGTGTAAAATATAATTTTTTAGAATTATGACAAAGAAAAAGTTCTATATTACTTTGCATTATCAATTATGTGACCTTTTTGCACTCGTGCAATGCCGCTTTTCTAACATTAAAAAAATTAACAAACAATAAAATTACTTGAAAGTCTTAAGATTTTGCTGAATTGATGGCAGACAAATTAAATTATAAGTATACGTATATTAAAAACATCTATAATGAGGGACAATCATGTAAACTAATACATAAAATATGTTAATTTGAGGCAAAAATTTGTGTTATTATCTTCTTATTTTTGAAATACATTTTGTATATTTGTAAAAATATAAAGAAAAAATCATTTTAGTTGAACTTCCATTTAATTCGGGACCAACAGAAATAAAAACTCACAGTAGAGTCTGAGAAATCTATGAAGCATAACTTGACAGCATTGAAAATATTTACATATAAAAAAAAATATCATTTTCATCTTTTTTAAAAAAAAACCCTTGCGGTAAAAAATAAAGCTCCTCGCTCCATTTTTAAATGTAAAATAACCATGTTTTTTTCCTTCTTTTTAATTAAGTGTATTTTAATTGGCATTATAGACTCCAAATATTTTGTGATTGTAATTGGATTTTCTAATTTTATTGAATCCATCATTCTGGATACAGCCATTCCCTACGGTAAATAAAAAACTAGGGTTTTTGGCATCATGGACAACTACTGCTTTAATAAGAAGCTCGCAAAATTTTCCTTTGTCTTGAAATTGGTCATTTACAAACTTACTTTGTTTACTATTCCGATTCCATACACACTCTGAAGTTGATATTAAAATGATGCTTGAATACCTATGTAGTCTTTGGAGAACAGATTTTCCAACACAATTAAATTAGCGGACCTTGATTTCAAATACAATCTTTCTTAGGTCGAATGTTGACTGAAGTTTTGTAAACAAATTGTTAGGCCATTATTTTCATATTATTTTGACTATTGATTTCTCCGTTTACCCGATCAGGACAAAAGACACAGGACAGGTGTAACCTGTAGACAGGGAATGCTTACTCCTCCGTGGCACCTGATCCCACCTCTAATGCTTTCAGAGGTCCGTGTTTAATCTGCTCACAATTTGTTTTATTTCATCAGATTTTTGAGCATGATTACTCTTCCTTGTCTTTGCATTTCATACAACCTACAGCGAATAAAATGTCTGCTGCACTTAAACAACGTAATAAAACTTACTGCATCCTTTCTGTTCACTAGAGCTCCTTTGTCGATCATCTTCTGAATAATTGCTTTTTCCTCTGGTATAAACAGATAGCTATAATGGAGCGGTGTATGATCCAACTGCAATAGAATAAAGACAACTATAATGTAGCGGTATTGTCGAACTACAATAAAAAACAGATATTGTCTAACAACAATAGAATATAGACTATAATGTAACGCTGTATTGTCCAATAATAATAGAAAACAGAAACATGTAGTTATAATGTAGTAGTGTATGGTCTAACTACAACAGAATATAGACAATCATAATGTAGCGGTGTATGGTCTAAGTAAAACAGAATATAGACAATTATAATGTAGCAGTGTATGGTCTAACTACAACAGAATATAGACAATTATAATGTAACGGTGTATGGTCTAACTACAACAGAATATAGACAATTATAATGTAGCGGTGTATGGTCTAACTACCACAGAATATAGACAATTATATTGTAGCGGTGTATGGTCTAACTACGATAGAATATAGACAATTATAATGTAGCGGTGTATGGTCTAACTACAATAGAATATAGACAATTATAATGTAGCGGTGTATGGTCTAAGTAAAACAGAATATAGACAATTATAATGTAGTAGTGTATGGTCTAACTACAATAGAATATAGACAATTATAATGTAGTAGTGTATGGTCTAACTACAACACAATATAGACAATTATAATGTAGCGGTGTATGGTCTAACTACAACAGAATATAGACAATTATAATGTAGTAGTGTATGGTCTAACTACAATAGAATATAGACAATATAATGTAGCGTTGTATGGTCTAACTACAATAGAATATAGCCAATATAATGTAGCGGTGAATGGTCTAACTACAACAGAATATAGACAATTATAATGTAGTAGTGTATGGTCTAACTACAATAGAATATAGACAACTATAATGTAGCGATGTATAGCCAAAATGTAGCGAGGTATGGCCCAATTACAATAAAAAAGACAGCTATAATGTACCGATGAAACTACTGTAGAAAACAGACTGCTATAATGTGGTGTTGTATATCCAACTACAGTAGAAAAGAAACAGCTATAATCTAACGATGAATTGTCCAGTTACAATGCAATAGAAAACAGATCGCTATTATAATGTAGTGATATATTGGCAAAGCACTACAGTATAAGGACTGGAACAGATTTGAGCAGTATTTGGTACCAAATAACAAAATATTAAAAAGAGATCAATGCTATCATATAGCTAAAAAAAATTCCAGCAAGAACTAAAGAACACAATATTAGGGTTGTATGGTCTAATTTCAATGCATATTAATTCGGCATCAATATTGAATCCGGTGTACTGTCAAAGATAACGGAGTATAAAGAGAAAAAACAGAAAAAATATGCGTGCCATCCAAATACATAAAAACTCAGCAATAAAAGATGGGCGAACAAAATGCCTATAGCTTCAAATGTGCAAAAATCAAATTCAATTTGTGAATCAAATATTTTTGGCGAAGTTCTAACTATTGAAAAGTGTGAAATTATGACAAATTCTTTTCTGCTAAAAAATTCTCTCGTCAAAAATTATTCTATGGTTAAAAAAAAAAGATATCTTTGGATTTGAACCCAAGCGACAAGAATCCGAAGGTTCAGTTTACTCCTAGAGACTGACACGCTAACCACTAAACCAAACTTAACAGGTTGTGGAATTCAAATCTTGTTTGAGATATGACCTAATACACCTGGACTTTAAATATTTCTTGGAATAATACGAATTTTTGTCTTAAAAGTGTATTTTTAAAGTTGGGTGGATCGTTGGTCCATGTTTTTTAAGCAATCAATCTATATTCTATATTTTTAAAAATACTTTGAAGATATACTTTCAAACTAGAAATATGTCCATAGGACATGAATGCCCCGCCGAGGGTTTATTAGTAATGCAACATGAAAATTTGTATTAGTGTATGAAATTTGTTGAGAATATCTTGAATAATTTCTATAAAATTGAAATTGAAATCTAAAACGTTGGATATAAGTTGATAAATTCTCGCCAAATTATGTATAAGTGCATAAACTTACATAAATATATCTTAAATGGTTTCTTTAAAATTAAGCAAAATGCAAATCTAAGAAAAGTGAGGTCAAGGTCACAGGAAAGTTCAAGGTCAAATGTTTTTGATGCAGTTGAATACTTCTCACAAATACGTATCAGCATATTTAAGTTTGATAAAAATATTTTGAATGGTTTATTTAAAACTGAGCTAAACACTAATTTAAAATAAATGAAGTTAAGGTCAAAGGAAAGGTCAAGGTCAAAATATGTTGATGCAGTTGCAAAGGTTACATCAGAACGTATTAGCACATGAAGTTTGATAAAAATATTATGAATGTTTTCTTTAAAACTGAGTTAAACACAAATGGAGAAAAGTGAGGTCAAGGTCAAAGGAAAGATCAAGGTCAAAAAATATTGATGCAGTTGAATAGCTCTCATCAGTATGTATCAGCATATGAAGTTTGATAAAAATATCTTGAATGATTTCATAAAAATTGAGCTAAACACTAATTTAAGAAAAGTGAAGTCAAGGTCAAAGGAATGGTCAAGGTCAAAAAATGTTGATGCAGTTGAATAGCTTACATCAGTATGTATCAACATATGAAGTTTGATTACACTACTTTGAATGGTATCTTTAAAACTGAGCTAAACACTAATTTAAGAAAAGTGAGGTCAAGGTCAAATGAAAGGTCACGGTCAAAAAAATGTTGATGCAGTTGCATAGCTCTCATCAACATCTATCAGCATATGAAGTTTGATAAAAATATCTTGGATAGTTTCTTTGAAACTGAGCTTTGAACAGAGCTAAACGCAAAGTGTGACGGAAGGACAGACGGAAGGACGGAAGACGGACATGACAGACACTATATGCCCCGGCCATATTCATGGCGGGGCATAAAAATGGAGGGAAGTCCCACTTAAATAAAAAAAAAGAAGTATTTTAGTATGAATGTCCTCTTTAGTGAGTGCATTTTATTTCATAAAAAAAATAATTTCAATATTGTGAGATTGTTGCAGATTTGAAAATTTTATGTAAAGCATACATTTATGTAATCTGAAATATCAAAGAAAATTGTGGTTTAATTGCTCAAGACATAATTATTCACTTTCTTATTTGTCGAACCATAGGCATATTTTTCTCGGCTTTTTTCGCCCATCTCCTTTATCTTCATTTAAAAAAAAATCAGCTCTTTATTTTCTGAATTTGTTTTTAGTTGTTCTGCTCCAAGGATACCTTTTAAAAGATTTACATTTGATTCTATGCTTTCAATAACCCTCTCCTCTGCATTGCACCTAGTCTAGGCATGTGTGGATATGTGTGGACGGTGCCTGACAAAACTCAAAGGAAACTCCCATGTTCGAGCCCATTCCTGCCCAGTCCTTAAATTGAACTCAACTACGCTATCCAGACTCGAACATCTCTTAATTACTGTTGTTACATGTATCTTGTTCTTTTTTTTTTAACAAGAAAGTTTTTGATTTCAGATTGTATCATTACATAATTCTGGTTTCATATTCAAGTTAAATCTACATGCGCTTGAAGAAACCATGCATTATAACATTCAGTTGATAATTCGTAATCTGTCCTTACCGTGTCTCCTGTGGTCACGTGACTGGGGCATTCTTCCAGGAGGAAGGATATAACAGGTTTCTGTTTTTTGAGGATGGCCCTGTGTAGAAGACTTCGGCCACATTTGTCTCTGACATTAGCGTACCTCTTACAGCTCAGAAGCTTTTTAATGTCCTCTACGGAACCCTCGTCCACGGCCTGGAATATCCGCTTCACGTAAGCCTGACAAAATAAGCAGTATGTGATCAAAACAATATCTTAAATGATTTAACTGTTCACATTTCACAATCTTGCTCATGTTTCAACACTTTTCTTGTTAACTGTCAAATTGGTTTGCGACAGATTAAACTGAACAGAAACATATTCATTGTTTCCATACGTAATATTTCTTGTTGATATGGGAAACATGTCGCAGTTTAAAATATGTGCGCAATTTCATCTGTCAAATCAAAATGCTACGGGCGCAAGTAATTTTATTAACTAGAATGCGCACTTGATACTTATAACTGACCTGTATGGCGGCTGTGAGTTTGACTACTTCGTGAATTTGGCGAGTTCCGTACTTCTTGGCGATCTCAACTAACGTACGATTTCCGCTGTCGGTTATATCCAACAAATGATTATAGTTGTGTAAAATAAGTTTCTCAATGTCATCAAAACGACGATCTTTGACTAGTTTGATTATGTACTCATCTATACATTTACAGTAATGCTCCTTTTGAAGTTTCTGTGCTAAGTCACGTGGAGTGCGACCATTACAATCGCGTGCTGCGATGTCGGCACCATAAGACATGGCGACTCTTAACGTGTTTTCTGCTGCATTTTCCGGTCTGTCGTGAATAATGATTTTATGGAGAATTGTATGACCCTCTCGGTCTCTTGCTGTCAAATCTGAGCCTTTGAGAACACGGTGCACGATTTTCTCATCTCGAGGGGCTGTCACTCCACAAATAATCTGAAAAAAACATACAGTTTTAAAATGAATGCAATACGACCCTTTTAAATGAATCCTTTATTTTTATCTAGTTCTCATTAGCTTCAATTTGGTAAATACTATAAATATAACATGTACCAGTTAACAATTAATCCAAAGTTATCCTTAAAAAACTTGTTTCATAGTTTCCGAACAAAACACATATATATAAAAGTCGGACCAATAAGTAATCGAACTCAATTTTCAACCTCTTTAACTATGAACAGAACATATACGCTATATTCTAAACTGTAGAAGCAGGTGCCTATGGACAAGACATATTTCAGAAGTTCTCACAAAAGTTTATTTAATAATTGTATGGTATGTTGGTAGGTACTGTTTTCCAGTAGTCAGTTACCCGCAAGCCTTTACTTATTTGAACTTTTTAGCCCCATCAATTACAGCTAATATTGATGAAACATCAGCTGTCTTCTTATAAGCCAACCTCATTATTTGGCAGAGACAGGTGATAAATATTTTCTCTTGAAGACAAAACATGTTACCATAAATCTAAAATATTGAGCATCAAAATGTGTATGGACGCAGCAAACATATGTGCACAGACAGCCTCTATTAACACTTGATTGAAATAATAACTCATTCTCTTTAATATGTCTCCGACCTTGTATGGTTATTCAATGTTAGCGGCAGATTTCGTTACGTACACCCACGTGTAAAAATGTTGTTTATCATAGACGAAATTCAATTCTGAAATTTTTATACTAATTATTATCTGGTTCCACATCACTGTAAAGGTTATAGTGTCACATTTATGAGGTTGGGATAATGGCAATGTCATAAACTTTTTAATTAATTATTTATCATGTAAATGCCTTGTCAGACGGAGACCTTGTTTTAAGTACATGTAAGTGAGGTGTCACGGAAAAAGGATATGCTAACTGTTCACATACTACCAGGTCTTCCATATAACATTTGTTCATATCATATGACGACGTGAGGGTGTAAAATAAAGTTGGATCGAATGATTATATGAAGCACTGTATGCTTTCTTATATGGAAAAAGGAATTCAAAATCGTTTAGACAGTGTGCAGAAAAATATGAAACAAACTTGACGATATTAATTTCGCGAGTACATGTATGTTTGCTAAAAGATGTATGAACTCCTTACATAAACTTCAAAAGAATAAAATAATATTTTATGGTATATGAAAAACTGAAATTTTTTATGCTAGGAAATGTAGGAAAAAGGCGCCCTGAGATTCGAAACTTTTTCCTAACCCCTATTGTTCTTTAAAAACAACAAAAATAATGTTAAAATCAAATCAGCCATTATTGATAAATTTACAAGGACGTTTACACTATGATGTGCGCGCGCATTACTATCAAAGCAAAGGCTCCTTTTCTTACATGTAATCGTTGTATGAATATATTGGATACATCTCAACATGGGCTTTTAAATTAATTGATATATATATATCAAGTAATCAGTTATAGTTGAGTAAGTTAAATCTTCCATATTATATATTTTTATGGAATACTGTATGTGGGGTAGGAAATGGAAGAAGCTAGTCACTTGTCATTGTCAAATCTTAATGGGAATACACTGTAATTTATACCCTATTTACACCTGAGAGACACGATTGCGATACAGATGGGTTCTGACCAAGAAATATGTACTTTTTTTTACCTAGACGTGCGAGTTTCAGATATGGGGAGACGTGGAATTTTGAGTACTATTGATAAACCTTTCCTAAAAATTAATTACTATTTCAACATTCTAAAATTATAATTCTGTCCTAACTCAACAGATCTCTTTAAATAGCTTAACAAGTAAGAAAATATTTTCAATTCAGAGTCATGTACCTGGAAAAACAAAGGTTTCGGGGGATTCTTAGATTCTGTGTCGTCAGTCCACAAAACTCTGGTGTCTGGATCCATGTCCAACAGCACGTCAACAGCATCGTAATTGTTTGACTCCCAGGCTGCCGCCAAAATTGGACGCGGAACTTCAGGGAATTCTGGGTACTTGTGTTGATAGGAGTAATCCTTTGCGTCACAGTCAACGCCTTTCAGGAGTTCAATTCCTAGAAAAAACATCGGCAAAAGTACATGTAGGTAATGATGTAATGAAAAATTCAAACATTTACTGCCAGAGCTAAGAAATTTGCAAGTTAGCTATTTTAGGTGATTACTCATTCGATATAATTATGCTGTAATGTTAGTGACTGACTCATAAACCTGATTTATATTAGACTTTTATGAATTCTAATGTACCTTGCTTAACCCAGCTTTTTACAATGAATCCGAACCCAGCATTCAGAGCAAGACACATCTCATTTGGATTTTCGTATTCCTCGATCATGTGCAGGAGGTCGACCTTATGAATATCGTCCTTGACAAGAGATTTGACATTCATTACCTTGCCATTTTTCACGCAGGTTAGACGGCACCATTGTCTGAGCAAGCGCTGCACCAGCTTCCGGTCTGGGTTTTCCTCTGATAGCGCGGCCCACAGACCTGAAATAAAGTTTTGTTTTTTTTCTCACAGATTATGTTTATCTTTTTAAAGTGCATTGAGTTAAAGTTACTGTAATTAATATCAGAAGTAGATCAAAAATACAGCTCTGTACGCATGTCAGATTTATCAATTGCATGTCTCTGTAGCCTACGAAGTCTACAAAAATGTTCTGTGTTCGAAACCTTACAAAGCCGAAATATACATAATTTATTGATAATTTACTGGACCTTTATACTTCTTTTATCTTGCGTTTTTGGAACATGCCCTTCCGATGAATGTAATCTTCTTGTAACGTGCATATTTATTGTATTTGAAGGATTCCCAGACTAAAAGTGTTTTCATTATTGTGTTTTTATTAGTTGCCAATTTTATCTCGGTGTCGCTTATAAGTGAATTATGAGATAATCGGTATAATTACTGCATTGATTGAGCGGAGGGTCGATAATTTCTTACATGTAAGATTACATCGAAGACAGTCAATCGGAAGTTCACGCTTCACGCTCTCATTGCAGCCAGTGTCCTAGGTTTCAAACCCGTGCTTTTATTATTTAACCTATGGAAATCTCTTCTTTCTTCCTTAGAACAAATTCATGAGAGAGAGAGAGAGACTGTGCTAAGTGTAATTTAACCATCAAGTGTAAGTAATAAGCAAATTTGAGCTTTCATCAAATGTTGATTTAGTTTTAACGATAGCATCGACTAGAATTTGAATTATATGTTTCTTTTCTCTTAAAGATCAAGAGGTCACCAAACCATAAAAGATTCCATTAAGCCCACATTAGATTGGAGGAAAATCCCATATTTCTACTGACGGCAAATTATCACTAAAAGAAAATATAATGTAAGCTAGGCTTGATTATATCATTTACAAACAAACCATAAAAACATTTTTTGTGTTGGCATAGTCTACTGAGAGAAGACAGCAGTCCCACATCTTATTATATTTTCAACAGTGAAATACTTTTATTTATTCATTGAATAAAAGTGATAATATGTCACAGTATGAAAGAATATCAAAGTGATATTTTGTCACAATGTTAAAAAAAATATAAAAAATGCCGTAAAACTCAATTTTCCTTCCCTTCACGAATAGTATTGTAAACAAGATGTGTTTTGTGAAACCCTGATGCCACCGTTTGGCAGCTAATGGTGAAGGTTAAAATTTCTCAAAGTCAGAGTCCAAGGTGAACAAGTCAAAGTTGTTAGTACCTTGAGAAAGGCCTTGTCACAAGAGTTACACTTGTAAATTATGAAAGCCCTACCACCAAGCGTTCAAATTTTTGCCAATGTTAAAGTTTTTCAAAAGTGCGCCGAATATCAAAGGTCAAGGCCAAAAGGTCAAAGTTGTTGGTACCCAAGGAAAGTTCTTGTCGCAAGGAAAACACACGTGAAATATGAAAGTCCTAGCACTAACCGTTCAAAAGTTATGGCAATTGTTTCTTGAAAGTATGTTTTACCCCAAGGTCAAGGTGAAAAGATCTATATTTAGACCCAAGGAAAATTAAAAGGAATCACATGTGATATATGAAAGCCCTAGCTCCAACCGTTCAAAAGTTATAGTCAAGGTTAAAGATTGGTAAAATTTTGAAAAAGCTGGTCAAACTCCAAGGTCAAGGTTAAGAAGCCAAATTTGCTGGTACCCAAAGAAAGGTCTTATCACAAGAAACACACATATATGAAATATGAAAGCACTAGCTCTCATCAATCAAAAGTTATGACCAAGGGTAAAGTCTTTGCGGACAAACAAACGAACAAACAGACATTCGGACGGACAAAGCCAAAACTATATGCCCTGAGTATTGGATTACGGGAATATAAATATACTACTTGGTCTGACTGTTATAAGTTAGACTAAAACTGCCAAAGTTTCTCCAGATATATTGTTAAAGTCCATATTTACAATAATCGCCGACTATGACGTCATAGCCTATGACACGAAAAGACATAGGTAAAGGGGAAATTAAAGAAAATGTAATAAGGAGAAAATTCAAAAAATTCGTAGTTGAATATGAAATTTATATTTCACTCGAAATACAGTATTTTTTTCCTTCTGCGAAGCACGAGTAAAAAAAATCTAAAAATCCTGTCTAACTAGTGAAATAAATTTCATATCCAACTACAAAATTGAATGTCCTCTATATAGTCACTGCCAAGAAACACAAGAAAACTGAAAACTGTGTTAAAGGAAAACAGACACTACAACATCATATATCATGTTATACCACTTGAAGTATATTGTGTTGAAGAAAAATATACAGTAATATACATATATATATATATATATATATATATATATATATATATATATATATATATATATATATATATATATATATATATATATATATATATATAGATAGATAGATAGATAGATATAGATATAGATATAGATATATATACGGATAGTGCTCCAAAAGAATAGAACATATTGCCACAAGACGAACATTGAAAATTAAAAATGCCAATGAACGTGTGCTACACAGGAAGACAGTGCTACCCCTTAAAGAATACATTGCTAAGTAATGTGCATGTATGCTTGAGGAAGACAGTGCTATCCCTTAAAGAATTCATTGCTAAGTAATGTGCATGTTTGCTGGTATTAAATTTAATGAAAGTGTGTGCTGGAAGAAGTCAACACTACCTTCTCCTAAAAGAATACACTGCTTAGTAACGTGTGATGGAGGAGGGTAGCACTATCCCTAAAAAATACACTGCTAAGTAACATGTGATGGAGGAAGAAGCACATCCCCTAACAGAATGCCTTTCTTAGTAATGTGTGCTGGAGAAGGACAACCCTACCCCTAAAAGAATGCATTGCTAAGTAACGTACGCTAGAGGAAAACAACAACTACTCAAAAAGAATGCAGTTCAGAGTAAAATTGTCATGCTGTAATCTTTGTATTTACTTCCACCCGGTAACTTCAAGATTTATATCATGGCAACATGAAGAAAGTATGCTATATACATGTACAGTGTGTTGGAGAAATATAGAAACTGCAGCAAAAAAAGACTGCGATATGTAAATATTTCTGGACGAGGACAGTTACTTGTCGATTCAATCTCTATATTTACACAAAGATTTGAGGTACAAAGTTACTGTAGATATTTGTAATCTCAAATCACATGCTGGATAGTCCTCCGTGAAGAAGAAAGCAAATTCCATAATTATAAGTAGGTTCATCTCTGAATACTTCTAACATTACAACTACAGAAGAATGCTTCAGTTGTAAAATGTTTGTAATGTTTGCAGAAGGCAATGCATAACAAAATTTTGGAACCTGCATTGTGAGCTTTCGATGCATGATATACACCAAAAGAGGTAACTTTCATGCTAGATCATATTAGATTTTTATGCATCAGTTACATGTAATTTTCTGATCCTTAGCCAGAAAAACAGGCCTAAATTTCAGTCTGCATCTCTAAATGCAACACCTGTGAAAATTTTGTCTCACATGCATTCGGAAATGGACCAGCTCCACAATCTTTATCTTCATCACTTATCAGGAAATTCGGATCACATGTACTATCTAAAGCATGACTGAATGACGGACATTTTCTGAGATACTGCAAAATCGTGTTAATAACACTGTATATCTGCTTAACGTGTGCTTAATCTGTAACTATAGGGTGTACATGTATTGATGTGTCTAATCACGATATATGATCGCAAGCACTTTTAACTGCAAACGGTTGTTTTATATAAGTCTTGCTGTCTACCTGGCTTGAACTTTTTGTACCAATGGTACATTTCCTCCCATCCTTCTGGCTTCTCCGTCAATAGAATGTCCTCTGCCGTTTTGCCGTCATTGTTGAGTATCCTGGTGTCGGCACCACATCTACATAAAAATAAGTCATGTAATCAGGGTTCTTGGAATGTTCTAAAACATGGCAAAAATGAAATCATTGCAGTACATTGTGACATTCATGTACAATTTAATGTAAATTAATACTAGTACATATACATGTCTTTTTGCATTAAATAAAGGATTAATAGTCTTACAACACAAAATATTTAAATGATTTGAACAGTTCAAAATTAGCTTCACTTTTTTAATTTGATAAAAAAAAAAAAACAGGATTGGTATTCATCATCCAGTGTAAGGCATTCAAAAGATTAAAGATCAGAATGTCGGGACTGTATATTGATCTGTACTATTTATTGTGGTGATATGCCAAATTTGAAACAACCTTATTCTTAGTGCAATTTTTTCTCGTTGGTCAGTGAAAATAAAACACACTTTTCCATATGTTGATCCACAATGACGTTTACTGAAATAGGACACACTTGTTTAGATTTAAATTACAGAGAACATGCTATTTACAGCAGTCCAAGTCACGAATAGAAAGGGATCTTTGCTTCTATATTTGTAGCAAAGCTCATGTTCGTGGATTCTCCAACAGAAAATAAAATGCAAGTAAGAAGGATATACATTCAGAATTAATTATCATTACCAGCTTTGTGGATAGAAATCATAATAATTTGCATCTACAAAAAAATATTTAAAAACTTACAAATTATAAAAAGCGATTAACTGTGTGAATGTAAAAACTACAAAAGTTTTGATTTGAGAGAAAGAGTATAAACTCGTATGAAAAAGATTTTCTGCAGATGTCATTTTTAATAAGTTTGTTCAAACATAAGTGAGGTAATTATTCAAGTTCGAATGAAGTACACTATAAGAGAAATTCAGACTTCGATTATTTTATTTATTCTTGTCCATAACAAATCTGTAGTTCTTTGGATATGATTTAGTAACACTTTTTCTGGGCGTCTCTCTTCCAGAACAGCACCATATCCTTAATTAATTCTGATTTTTCACTATTCCTTTTTATATGTCCGTATAAGGAACCACCGAGATTGTATACAATATGAATAGTAGGAATATTTCCAAAATTATTAAACAAGTTCTGTAGTAAGTGTCAGCCTCAGAAAATGGTTCGATCATCAATGAGACTTATTGATCTGTTTACTCACACATTCTCTATTCTACACTCTCATAAATATTTTTATGAAAAATAATGTAGTAGCAAGACAATACCGATGTTCAGAAAAATATCACATTCTTCGAACATGCGTACTGCCTCTCTATATTCTATGTATAGAGATCAAATATTAGTGCACATGAACCTGAATATCAGTGTTCAATTTCCCCCCAAAATTGATTTAGTTGGAATATGCACATGTAATGTATACTTGTAAAAGGGCGTATGTTTACAGACTTAGATTTCTATTTAGGTGACGACAGCATTTTTAGTGCTGGGAATTTATATCCGATTTTGCGATTTATTTGAGTGGACTTTATCGAAGCATTTTTGAGGGGAGAATTAAAATCATCCTATTTCACTAAATTGTCTTTTTATTTTATTGTCAAGCGCCCAGCAGGTTTTCTTTTTACAAGCTTACAAGCTCTTTAATGTCCTAAATTTAGACCTATATTACACTGCGTTCAATGCAATCTCTCGGACACACACAGCAAATCGAAAGTGTCTTGCTGCGATGGAACTAGTCACCTGGAACTTTTAAACCCGTTCGTCCGGTTTCCGGTTAATTTGTAACACTCCATCAGAGGGGTAGAAAATGGACACTGTACTTTATACATTCCTTTCTTATTCTCACAGGGGATCTAGACATGACAAAGCAGATTCTCTTTAATAGTGTCCTAGGTTTTGTACTAAGAGGCTTCAATTTCACGTGGAATAATTACAGTATTTAAGCGGACCTTGACCATTGTCCATATTAGGAAAAATAGTATTCTAAAAATGCTGACGAATTATGCACTTTCCCAGACATTCAATATCAAATACAAAGACTTATTTGTTAATTCTCCGAGCAGGAACAAACCAAGAGAAGAGTGGCTTTATGTGGTAAAAATATATACTCCTCATGTTCAAGTCTGGTAATGGTGAATTGAAAACTGTCATTTAAGATCAATTAAGGAAATACGCTCCTCAGCTATGAACCGTTACTCTTAAAATTATTATTTAATTCAAAACATTTCAAAATACAGCATTAAATTGAAATTTTTGCCTGCAACAATTTTAATTTCATGCGTAGCAATATGAATCAAGGTGTTTTGAAATCTTAGAAAAAGTCTTGTAAAAGGTTGAAATATGTACCCCATTAAAGTACCAGAAATAAATTCATTTAAAAGAAATCGAATTTCCTTTTCTCTAGTCTTAGATACTAATGTTTATTAGCATGATATGAAATTAGAAGCGATTTGTGATGTCTTGCAATGATAGCACAAGCTTTTTACACAATGTATAAGATAACAATTGAAGTACATGTAATAGAGGAATTGAAATACATTCTAGGTATAAAGAACATGCAAATTTCTCCGATTATCTAGATTTTTTTCCTAAAATATATTTGTTGGTCAATTTTCAATTACAAAATGCATAGATAGTACTTTTATTGACTCGCGTTTCTTAACAATGTATTTGAAGTTTTATAATTTTTCCTATATAATATGATTAAACTGTAATGATGAACTATTAAGAAATACCATAGGTACATACACTTTGTTTTCTGAATTCAAAGACATTTTTGAGAGTATTAGTATACTGTTGATTTTCAAAACCCGTGGATCGGACTACCTTAACATCCTTCGATTCAAAACTTATCTTTGTTACTGTCAAAATTGGTCAATGATAAAAACAGTTATATTTAAGACTGAACTCAATCCCCGTATTTTGAAATTGTCCAAAGAGTGTACGTTTACATAAGGGTACGGCCTTCACTTTTTTTTCAACAAAGAAAATATACAATCTTCTCCTGTTTCACTTATTTAAAGTGCTGCAGAAACAGCTTTCGGGTCGGCAATTTTCTCTGAGATAATCATCGGAGGTTAACGTGGAGGTTCCAAGCCTGCTTCTGCTTCAGGTTACCATTACCTTAGGGTCTTTTATAGGAGTATTTCTAATGTTTCCTGACTTGGGCTGACATCACTGGCGGTAACATGAATATCGAAATGATCAACAAATAAACAATGAACCGCGACAAAATGGTAAATATCCGCATCGATACATGTACCCCAATTACAGCGAGATCTGACCACGTGTTTTAAGTGTTGGGGTAAAATTTTCTCGTTGCAAAATTTCAGTCTAATGTGTTCATTAGTCACACATAAAAAAGAAGAGGGTGCTACTTGTTACCATCCTCGTAACTTTAAATTTCCGAGTACAACTTTGTGGTGAATATATTTTATCAAAACAAAGTTGAATAGTAAAGAAAAAAGGAAGGTTTACCATCTTTTGTTCTGTATGCTTCCACCATCTGACATCTGATAAGTTGTACCTAGCTCTACTTGTCGGAGGAACAACTCTCTGCCGCCCTATATTGCTTCACACTTACAAAGAACCTTTGTTTCCTACATGTTTATATTTGTGAACAATATTTTTACCACACCCATGTATCTCTAAAGAATGCTCTACACAGAGATGTCCTCAGTTAGGTGTACCTTCACGACTATGGTTGACTTTCTTTTCTTTCTGGTAATTGCTTTAAGAATACTTCTTTTTTTACAAAGGTCATGAACAAAATATAAACATGTGGTATATAGCTAGTCAGATCTGGGGTTTATCGAGTACAAGACAGGTATAAAAGTTCCACGACTGTCAATCAAAGGGTACAGAATAGAAAGATTCTCTGTATTACATCAGGTACGTGAGCATTGTTTACCTGAAACTTGATAAATTTCAGAGGTAAATCTGAGCCACTATACATGTAAATATCGCAGATATTTCAAATTAAGTACTTTGATTTAAAAGTGTAGAAAGGGAAGCATTCGAAGTCAAGTACTTAATTAAAACGTATCAATTGTTAATTGAAAAAGTAGGGAAACCCGAGACAGGAAGCGACAGGACTGAGGCAATACTGTGTGTGTCAGACATCCGGTTCCTTATTAATCTCCCACTCAAATTTTAATGAGAATACTCTTTACATTTATCTCCAAAAATATGCATGCATTCAACAAACATCTTTTTTATAAGACTGGGAACCAAGGATTCCAAGTTGATTAGTGAAATCCATTTAATAAAGGAGGCAGACGCTTGTGCAAAGTGATATAAAGAAAATGAACGAAGTCCCTATTTTCTGTTTTCCTTTGAAGTCTTGCATGGCATGAATGTTACAAAAGGTTTTTGCTTATTGTTTATCAAATGCAATTTACAAATTATTCATCAACTGCATGCATCGGCATTATTTCTTAACCACTTGCAAACTTTAATGTGCATTATAGGATGGGAATTAATTGATATCAGAGGGAAATACATTAGCATGGCCACGATTTAGTTTATTGATACGTGCAACAGACTTTTTTTAATGATCAAAAGTGGCTTGCCAGTCAAAAAGTTTATTCATTTACAACACGCCACAATACACAAATAATACAGACTATTGTCGACTGCGAGTACCGAGAGAATTCGAAACGACGTGTGGCGTTCTCGGGACTTTTCATTGTTGATATGTGAAAAAGGGCAGGTGACGAAGATGGCATAAAGTATAACAGTACATTTTAACACTCGCAAAGGAAAAAGAACACTTTAAAAAAAAGCTTACACATGAAGTCACTGTCACAGAGAGCATTTATTTAAGTGATTAACACATTCATACCGTTGTAAAACCTCCCCCCTTTCAAATTTAAACCGGAACAATCCTCCAAAAATAACAAGTAACTGAGTTTGCCATTGCTTATTGTTTTAGAACTCTTCTCAGTTTCTTCCATTGATATCGCTGAACTATTCGTACTAGATTTTTTCAGATCGTAGACTTTCTGCAACTTGATCTGGCACTCAAAGTACAGTGTATACAAAACAGGAGAACGGAGAGAAAATACTTAATTTCTAAAATATTGTCACGCTGGACAAGGTAGTGGTATTTGAACTTTGTCCTATGCCGACAGTGAATTTTGTAATGCTTCACATTTATTTGGATGAGAATAGAAAACGCAAATCGGAAGAGACGAATTTCCTTTTTAGCTGTCAACACTTGAATTATGAAGAAAAACAGAGCTTTTTATTTGCAATCTCTAGAATAAAGGTATATCTGTCCCAAGCACATTCAAAGTAGATCACTCACATAATCATTTCCCCTGGAGCTTAAAAAGTAGTATTTAAAGGACGAAGGGTAAAATAAATAAATCTTTAAAAGGAAATCACACGGTAGATTGGGTATTATCAAAAGAATCCAGGTAGAAATTGGGTCGCCAGAAAATTGCTGCTTACAAAATGTATATTATTTTTTTCTGTTCCAGATTTCAACTTGATAAAAAAAAAATAACCCGCACACATTTTTAAGTGGCTTCAAAGACAGTATGTGATTGAAAATTCATGAAAGTCACACAAACGCCTAGCCATTTTTGTCCGGCCTTGATTGTGACAGACTATTTACATTATTTTGATTGATTAACAAAATTTCATCTTTATTTTAATTAGCAATGTAGATCGATTCACCACTTTGCCTGAGTAAATGTAATTTTTGAAGAGGTACTTAAATTATGATGTAATGTACAAAAATATTCATCAAGATGGTCAAAATGAATTACGGAATAAGATATCCTGGTATAATCTATTTTCTTCCACTTTTCTAAAATATTCACATCCGTATATATATATATATATATATATATATATATATATATATATATATATATATATATATATATATATATATATATATATATATATATATATATATCAAAGACCTAAATATATTTAAAACAAATGCCTTATTTATTTAATATGTTTTATTCGAGTTGGCAGGTATTGTCCACAGTGGTCTACACATCAGTGGGGCAGCCGATATATATATATATATATATATATATATATATATATATATATATATATATATATATATATATATATATATATATATTAGATACATAGGAAATGATGGTGTAAACTATCTCTAATTGTATTTTAAACGTGGAATAAAACCCTTTATCATGCTGACTTGTAATAATGTACAAAGGCGAAAACTGGACCAATGTGACAATCTGTTTTTTAAAAAAAAAAAGAATTTCTCTTTAAATTGCTCATATAAAACGCAAAGGAAATTACTCATCTCACCAGCCATTCAAATTAATTTTACAATGCACTTCGTTCTAATCAATGAAATAGTATTGTAGAAATGTATAGAGTCAGCACAGAGCAGCACATGTTTAGAGGCCATAACACCAATATAACGACTTACATATCATTATGAATGTAAACAACAGGGATTCAATATTTTAATACAATGATACCTACTGGTCTCTATCTTTATTCCATGTTTGACGATCTGTCATTTAGACACTACATATGTATCTGATATTAAATAAAATTAATAAATATTTCCTCTTAAAAACTATACATATATTGGTGACAATTAATAGTAGTGAATAAGATGAAAAAGCGATCCCTAATGTTTCTGTTGTATATTCTGACTCATTGTTTTGGGGGTTAATTTGAAATAAATATGCCATGCGTACACTGACAAATTCATTTCCTGTACTACATGATTGATTTTAAGAGAAGAACACTGACAACGTGCCATTTTTCATGATTAAACAAGAGACACCGGGAACATTGTCTTCTTCTTCTGTTTTTTTTTTGTTTGTTTGTTTGTTTTTTTTTTTTTAATAAAAAAAATAATTATTTACAGCTATTTGACCCGAAGGCATTATGCTTCATGGCTTTCATGTATTTCTTGAATATTAAAATTTATTTACAAAACTTTCAAATTATTAGGATCCTACATGATATAAAGTTAATGACGATTTTGTTTTATTTTTTCTATTGTCAAATTCTGAGCTAGTATATTTAGCTTAAGCATGAGTTTAATAATGTACAAGTTTAAAATCTTGAAAGGAAAGTTCTATATTTACCTGCTACTCTAAATTCACGTTAATTAAAAGTTACTCATTCAAATGACATCATAATGCCATACATATATTCATTTTATCAATTTATTAATCGTCAAATTCCCTTACTATGTAGCAATATACCCTTATCACCTGCATATGGGGTTTTTGTCTCTCAATACGCAAGAGATTGCTCTACGTATGAACAATTTCTAAAACGAGGCAAACTATTGACAAACAAGTTGATGAAACAAGGATATCAACAGTCTCGTTTGAAGTCATCATTTGGCAAGTTTTATGGTCGATATAATGACCTTGTCAGCAAATACAACCCTATCATTAAGTCAAATGCTGACTGATGTTTTCCATACTAATTGTTAGGCCATTACTTACACACTGAATTGTCTACGGATTTTTTTTTCGTTTTTCCTGATCATGACAAGGAGCACACGGCGGGTGTGACCGAGCAGCAGGGGATGCTCACTCCTCCATGGCACCTGATCCCACCTCTGATGTTTCTGGAGGTCCGTGTTTGCTCTGCATCCGATATGTGTTGTGTGAATGGACTTTGAGCTTTAGTGTTGTTCGTTATCTCCATGTTTCATTCCTTGAATTTATTAATTGTGTTTGATTTCCCTCTATGTAGATGTCAATGAGGGAGAAGGAGGAAATATTCAATACTTTGAATGAAAGATACTCGAATATAAATAGATATGGATAGAGTGATATAAATTATTATAGTGAATATAAGCAATGATAAGGATTAAAAATCTTAAACGAAGTAATCTCCAATGACTTTTAATTTGATTCTTCATATATAAGTCAGAGTGCAAAGGAATAGGGGGTGAGGTAAGAATTATTTATTATATCTCTACTGATTTTTCCCTATACAAATTTTGATCGTAAGATGTAAATAATTACCTGAAAATCGCTCTGCCAATTTGACGTGCCTTAGCTAATTTCTGCTTCGAAAATTGTATCGGTATCGCTATCAATAATCCCCGTTTTGCCGTGCGTTAGTAAAGTGAGCTAGTCCCTTATTCGAAATTTGTTTCATTATGATAAAACAGTTAAAAAGAATATCATTGAGGGAGATAACAAGATTTCAGTTCCCCTCGACCAGGACTATTTCCCCAGGTAGAACTAAAATCTTACTAACACCCCCCCTCTCCATGATATACTTTAACTGTTCATTAACATTGAGAAGATGGAGGACACGTCACATAAGACCTGTAGTATGAATTCTAGTAATCCACTTCATGCATTAGCATATTATGAAAAAAGAATTTTCGAATCTTTAAAACAGTAAAGATGCACATTTTCGAGCCATACACAATATTATAACTTATGTCGATCATCACTCAAAACTTGAATTACTATCATAGGTAGTCCCTAGTCACTTGGTAACAAGATTCAGATATTTGAAACAGTACACATACATTCCTAGCAGCAATTTCACGTCGTTTTGTTTAAACATTGACATATATGTAACTTTTGCCAGTATGTCCAAACCTTACATCTCTCCTTTTCCCCTTACATTTTTTTTATATCTTGCATTGTTTATTTGTTATTAAGCCTGTATATGTGTATTCACTTTGACCTTGTTGTAATCAGAATGTAGGGAGAGGGATAAAACAGGCTGTGCTTGCTGTCCAACCCCATTAACTTTGTAAATAAAACATTTTTAAAACACAAATTTAAAAACGGTTAAGACTAAAAATGTTTTGATATGATATATGTATTGAGATGTGGACGAAAGTGGTTAAGGAATATCTAGTCATTTTTGAATTCTAGGAAGCAGTGTTTATCAGCAGCATTAATCTGAGCATAGATCTGCATGTCTTTATACAAGAAATACCAAAGTATTATCTTTTAAAAACAAATGATTTAGGCATATTCGGGATCATCTCGCGCTTCTTCCTCTGAACAATGTCTCCCTCTGTGAGTTGTGAACCAGAAAATAGACATCGATGTGTTCTTTCGTTTCGCTTGGGAATAAATGCCTCTGTCAATAATCCGTGTTCCCTCAACTGTAAACGATGTATTAAACAGGGCAGAATATGGGACAAGCTTTCTCCTCCCGTCTGGTGAGTCTGATTTCACAGGTATAACGGTTGTTCGCGCATTACTTTTGTAAAGACACTACTGCTCCAAATCATAGGCTTCACCGGTGAAGCATAAGGCATTTACATTGTACAAATTTAATTGACATTCAAGTTGGATCTTTTCTACTTTATGTTCTATTAATTAACAATCGAAACGCTTATCACCAAGAAAAGGTTACACTTGAGGTTACTGCAGAGTTACTTAATAAGCAGTAGATTAACAATCTTAGACTAATTTGTTTATTTTTGTCTCTAAAATAAACTGCGGCCAGCATAAGATCGATTTGTTCTAGTAAACGTATTATGGCAAGATTAATGGCGTTAGGTTACTGTCCCTTTCTTAAAAACTACGTTGAGTCAAATGAGGAGTGATATGTGTTTTTTTAAATTTTGGACACGATGTATTTAAGTTCATTATGACTATACACCTGTAGGCCTTTTGTCCACATTGACCCTACACCTCTATCCACTGACCATCCTTACCTGATCAGAGCCATCATGATTCGGTAGGTTCCTTTCTTTCTCATCACTTTATGGAGTCCAGTCTCCCCGCTGTTATCAGTGGCATCAATATCTATGTCCTTACAGACCAACATATAGATAGCTTGAACAGTTTCAGGGTCGGCGAAATTCTCCCCATGGTTCACTAGTAAGTGAAGGAGATTTCCTCCTGTTTCCTCGTCCCTCAGGTTAACATCTTTTCCTGTTTTCAGGTACTCCCACAAGGCACCCATCACTTGTTTGGGATTACCTGTATTTATGGTCTTGAACAACTTTGTCTTCCGAAGATTCATTTTCTATTGTCGACGAACTAATCCAATGAAGCCAAACCTTTATGTTCTGGTATATAACAGAAATTCGATCGGTAAATTTCCCTGTCCTCACACTAGAAAGATTTTTTCATTTTTCTTCACTATTCGTCAGTAAGTTGTTTACATTTGCTTGTTGGTAGATACACCTTTGGTCGATTGTTAGCCAGTACTTATTGATCAGCCTCTCGCGTTACTCCAAGTGCTGTCGTTGTTTTCGCTGTTCTCGTTCCACTGTCAACAGATCACTGTGCCTGTTAGACGTAAAAGCAGGGAAAATTTCTTCTACTCAGGCGGAACGACAATGCTTTTAATCTCTCTATAGCAAAGCGAGAGGTCTTACGCGTCTGATGGAAAGGGAGCGAGCTTTGGCGTCACACCTGAATGGTTCTATTATTTACCTGTAAGGTACTGTAATACCTGTAATGATTTCACCACACACACTACCTGGGCTTTGTATGACTCTTTGACCTGCATGTCTACCTTTACATAAGCATTGATTTATCTGCCCTTCAATGTGATTTGCCAGGGAGAAAGTGCTAATTATTGTCGCTTATCTCTTCTGTTTAATTTACTTCTCCTGTTACAGTTACTTCTTCTGTTACATTTACTTCGTTTCATTTCTATCAAACTGTGGCCAGTTCAGACAGTCCCTTGGTCCTATGATACAATTTCTTCAGCAACAATTTATCAATAGAATGCCTTTTTTTTTTATAATTATAGATTAAATATTAACTTTTTATGAAATAAATAATGTGTATTCATAAGGGACATATATGCTTTTTATAAATTGTAATCCTTTTCAAAGCTAAAAAAATATTAGGAGAGAGATATCGCATTATGATAGAGGATAAAGAAGCTGCGTGAGTTTTGAATCAGGGGATCCAATTTCCAATCCAGGCATGACAAGCTGTACTGTTCACGTGATAATGCCAGTACACTCAGGTAGGTTAATCATTAGATTAAACAGGAATAAAATATAAGAACGAGAAAAGTCTCATCATTTAGATAATTCACAAAATACTCCAGACCCTAATATGTTAAAGTGGAAGTTATCAATCATGAGAACTACACAGGTAATATATTTGCCTACAGAGCAATGTATACGAAGACTAAATTTAAGAGTAAGTTCATGTTTTTCCTCTTAATAATGCATCACTTCACCTTGTTTTGTTGAAGACCGCTAAATGAATGTATTTACTTTTAATGAAAATTTAACGATTCCTTGAAACGAGATATGCATACAAATCGAAAAAATTCTTGATAAGAAATATAAACACTTCTTGGTACATGTAATTATAACACTGAGAATTCATAAAGTCACTAATTAACTTTTTAAAACGATTTCTACCCTTTTCTATTATGTAACATTTTTACTAACATTTTGTACTTTCAGTCTAGATGAAAAAAAAAAAAAAAAAAACAGCATGGACAAACGTTGAATTATTGTTTGAACGGAATAAATATTGTTCTCCATATGCCTAGATTTTTTCCAACTATGTCATTTTTTAGAATCTGTAAAAGGATACTGACTACTACATATCAAAAAGCATTTAACACTCTTGCTGTGACCTTCAATTCGACATTTAGATATACATGTATGGACGATGTTTTATCAATTAGCAATAATTACTATTTTTACCCTTAATTCTTTAGAAGGTTTTCAATGGTGAAAGAATATCTTAAAATATCACGTGTCACTAGCAAAGTAAATTCCAAATACAGCTAAAATCATTGAATTATCTCTTTACTACATTTTCTTTGGTAAGACTTTTTGACCCAATTGGCTACATGTAAGTAGTTCTGTTTGTTTGAACGTCCCTCTCGAGAATTTTTCACTCATATGGAGACGCCACCACTTGCCGGTGGAGGGTTGCAAATTTATACCTGTGCTTGGCACTCAGGGCCATAGAACAGTGAAGGATCTTTTTCGTGCCAACACCTACTGCGGCATGGGACCTTGGTTTATACGGTCTCATCCGAAGGACCGATCTCCACGTCCCGCAGTGGATTCGAACCCGCGACGTAAGGATCAGCTCCTTACTCCGCAACTCTAGAGCAGACGTTCTAACCACTGCGCCACGCGGGCGACGTAAGTAGTTCTGATTGCTAATTTTATACTATAACTGTGAAATTTCAACATGGTTAGTGTCAGAAAAGATACACAATAGTACATATTTGGGATGCTCACTCCTCGATGACACATGATCCCACTTCTGTTTTCAGATGTCCATGTTTGCTATGGTTACAATTTGTATTGCTTAATTGGACTTTTGGGTATAATTTTCACGTATCATTCGATCGTATATATATGGAATTCAAATGCAAAAATACAATGCTGAAACGGAATATATATTTACCTATCAGTTTCTGAATAGTTTGTAAAAAGTTACAAGTGAGCATTTTCGCCAGTAAGCTCAGTTTCACTAACGTAGGTCTGTTAGTCAAACAGAGAATCTACATATGTTACTTTTATCGATCTCCAGAAGGATTTTAATAACGTGGATTGTGAATTATAAGAATTTTGCCTTTTACGTAACGGAGTGGACGGAAATTTCTATAAAACTCTAAATCGTTATACCTAAAAAAAAGAATCATGTGTAAATTAACAGGATACAACACGGATTGGTTTCGCTGACCTCTGGAGTTCGTCAAGGAGACAACCTTTCTCTCACACTCTTTGCACTATTTATTAATTACTTAGCTAAAGAAGTAAATTCTCTCAATAAAGGTATTAAAATAGACTGTCTTAAGCATTCTCCTTTACGCGGATGACATTGCACTCATTGCTGGCGATGAAAAGAATATGGAGGATATTTTTAAATGTTGTCTCGACGGGGTTTAAAAAGTGGCACTTGACGATAAATCCTAAAAAATCTAAAGTTGTGCATTTTCGAAAAGGGAACCTTATGCAGAGCAACTACTAATTCTACCTTGGAAACATTATTCTGGAGTATGCAACTTCCTATAAATATTTAGGTGTTATATTTGATGATAATAGGGGCTTCAAGACAAACATAGAAAATCTCGCAAAATCAGGAGGCCGTGTTTTAGAGGCAATGATAACAAAGATCCATCATCTTAAAATACGTTTGTTTTCAACACATTTGAAACGCTTTTTTCATATTGCAGCGGTGTGTGGGGATATGAAACATTGCACAAAATTGATATGGTACAGAATTAGGGTCAACGATACTTTCTGCGGGTTCACCGTTAACATCTCTCTTAGCTGTACTTGGTGAGTGTGGATGGTCAGCTGCCAGTCTGCGACACAAAACTAACATGGCTCGTCTATGGAATAAATTGATCTTCATGGATGACGATTGGATCACAAAGAAAATATTCATGGCGTCTTGTAATGAAAATAATTCTCGAAGCTTGTATCATCATATGAAGAGTCTTTTTGAAAACACAGACAACCAATTCCAGACAGAATATGTCGTCTTTGTGATTTGCACGAAGTAGACATGGTAGAGGATGAACTTCATTCTCTATTACAATGTAATCTGTATAAAAACCGTAGACATGATTTTCTAAGAAATGTTGGAATTTCAAAATTACATAATTATTTAAGTGTTCTATTTAAATATCTATTAACTCATTTCCCACGTCAAACTGCGAGTTTCATATAAAATGCAAATAATATTAGACAAAGAAAAATCACACGTAAGCAATGAATGTCTATATTGCTAAAAGTGACTTATAGGTCCGATGGGCCGGGTGTTGTATGTATATTTGTCTAATGAATGAAAAATTATGTTATACACAAGTCACTATAATAAAATATTCACTTACTAACTTACTTACTGATAACAAAGTAAAAGCATTATGTTACATAGTACTTATCATCTGTGATAAAAGCAAAATTGTATAAGCCCTTCAATCCCTACCATCCATATACAGACTCTTCCGAAATGCAAGGACAAATGATGATTACACAAGGTAAGAAAACAGGTGTTTATTTCCTTGAGTTTATAATATATCAGTCCTAGAGGTTCTAATTATACAAGTAATATTATGGAATATATAATGCTTTTTATCAAAGGAATGTTCCTATGAATGGAAAATAAATGTGCATTAATATAGAGGGAATGTAAAGGTGAGGGTATGATAGGAATTAATTTGAATCAAGTTTAGAAACGTAAAGGTTGGCTTAATGTGTCATTTATATTGCCAAGAAACTTGAAGTTTGATAAATTGACGCCAGACTTGCTCTAGTTAAAACAACCATTAACAGAATATGAATCTAATTATGTATAATCTGTCGCAGATTGTCCAAGAACTCTGTTACAATTAAATGTTATGTTTTTGCGGTTTAATAATGTTAATTTCTTCCACGTTATAAATAGGTATTTTGATATCGAAAACACTGAGAGAAAAATTTGAATTTCTTGTTATATCTTATCCTTCTTTAAAGCTCTATAAAATAATAGAAATTATATATATATATATATATTTATATATATATATATATATATATATATATATATATATATATATATATATATATATATATATATATATATATATATATATATATATATATATATATAGTTTTGTTTTTGTTTTGAACATATTTTATTGAGTACATCAAAAGGATCGGAAACAAGTTCTATACAACTTACAAAGTTCCTCTTCTTATATATTACAATTTGTCATGCAAATAAGAAGAAAAATAATGCAATTAATACAAGTGAAAAAGCAATTAAACAACGTATCAACTAGAGAATCTACATGTTTCGTCAATAAATCTATGTACAGCAGCAAAAATACTGTTATTTAGTCTTCTTTTATTCCCTATTGATTTGAGTTTTGTTTAGATTGAAATTGAATTTATTTATGTTGTTGACAAAATTAAGTTCAGTGTATTATGATGTTTATCTGAATTGTCTTAGATATTTTCATTATTTGCAGAATGACCTTAAATATCGGTTGTTGTTTTTTTCTTTTTTAAAATTTTCTTAGTTTTAATGTTTTACGCTATGTTCAATAGTTATTGCAACTTTTTCTAGGATTAGCTTTAAAATATGTTAAGATTTTCTTTAACTACGTATATTAATAATAAGTTGCCTTTTTACATGCATTCTCATTTTCCATGACACTAGATAAAATCCCGCGCAAGCGCGGGGATTACCACTACCGACAGAAAATATATTGTAGTTTCTACTGACAGCCTACAGGCTTATAGCAGGAAGAAATACTTTGTTCAAAATCCCGCAAGAAGTAGATGTACATGTACGTCTCCACCCCATCCCCTTTTGTAAGAACTTGAAAAATTACAATTTCATTAATTGACGTTTATTGTGAAACCTGTTATACTATGTTATGGATATTGTACTTCAGATGCTCTTACTTCATTTCCGTCAAGGATTAAAGCAGCGAATATGCACATTATACTGATAAATTGATTTTTTTTTTTTTTTTTTTTTTTTTTTTTTTTTGAAGGGGGGGGGGTAAAAATCACAGGTACTTGGGTCTTGGTTCATAAATACATGTTTGTA